TGGCAAGGGAGGGCAGCCGGTGCTTTCTCTCCCCCCCCGCCCCGAGTTTCAGGCCTCCCTCTCTCTCTCCCCCCCCCGCAGAGCTATGCCCCCACCGTGTTTGAGAACTACACGGCCAGTTTTGAGATCGACAAGCAGCGGATCGAGCTGAATATGTGGGACACCTCAGGTAAGGCGGCGCCTGCTGCACGGGTGTGGGTCGGGGCGGGAGACCTGGGGGCAAGGCTCCCTCTAAGCGGTGGGGTCCTGTGAGCAAAAATCCTACTTGGTGAGCTCCTGGCATGAAAGTGGTGAGCAGGCGATTTGGCTGCTGCATGAATTGGTTTACTTTGGAGCAATGTTCCCTCTAAGCTGCAGAGTCTTGTGAGCAAAAATTCTACTTTGTGAGCCGCTGGCATTAAAGTGGTGAGCGAGGCATTTGGATACTGCATAAATCAGTTTGCTCTAGAGCCCTCCTTCCTGAGCTAAGACAAAAATGTGTGAGCTATAGGCTAAAAAGCTGTGAGCTGGCTCACACTAACTCAGCTTAGAGGGAAAACTGCTCTGGAGCCATCCCTTCCTGAGCGAAGACAAAAATCTGTGAGCCAGAGGCTAAAAAACTGAGCTAGCTCACACTAACTCAGCTTAGAGGGAACACTGCCTGGGGGGCGAGTGCCTTGGCGGGTGGGAGTCGGAACCGACTTGTGGGGCAAGGCGCCCTCTAAGCCCTGGAGTCTGGTGAGCAAAAAATCCACTTTGTGAGCTCCCGGCATGAAAGCTGTGAGCAAGCCGATTGGGCTGCTGCAGAAACTTGTTGGCTCTGGAGCCCCCTCCTTCCTGGGCTGAGACAAAAACGCCTGAGCCCGAGGCTAAAAAACTGAGCTCGCACTGATGCAGCTTAGAGGGAACACTGCTGGTGGGTGACTTCTGCCCGTCAGAGCTTGAGAAGTTCTGTCATTTGACTCGAGAGAAACCCAGCCACCGAGGACCCGGAACGCTCCACTCTCCATTCGCCACTGCTCAAAAAGTAGGAAGCGAAGGGGTTGGACCAGACTGATTGGGCTTACTTCGTTGCGGGAGTGCACTTGGCACATGCTCAAAAGCACACCTACCTTGGAGTATTTAGCAAAACGTTAAGTATCCACTTTTTCCTCTCTACCCCCACAAAGGACGGTCAGGTACCCTCTTACCCGCAGCCATTGCATTTGCAGTATATTTCTTGCATGGCTCCCCCCTCCCCAAATCACATCCTCTGGCCTGCGGACCTTCTTCCCACAGTCTGAGAAGCGCCCCTTCTTTGCACGTGGCTGGGTTTAAGCCCTGGCACTGAGAGGCTTGGGCTCTGTCCCGGAGAGTGCTGGCACCAACGAAACTCTTTGCTTTGGTCCGAACTTCACATCTTCCAGAGCCAGATCTTGGTGCTAAAAACCGGTTCTGGGGCTGAGCCCTGCCTAACCCTTGTGGTCGTCTCTCTTTTGTGGCACATGACGCTGGTCCCCGCTCTCTCTCAGGGACGTGGCACCTTCATAGCTGGTGGTGGGATGGTTTCCTGCTTGCACCTGAGGAGGAATACTTTTTTTTGGGGGGGAGGCGCAATGTTCCCTCTAAGCTGCGGAGTCTTGTGAGCAAAAGTTCTACTTTGTGAGCCACTGGCATTAAAGCTGTGAGCGAGCGATTTGGCTACTGCAAAAATTAGTTTGCTCTGGAGCCCTCCTTCCTGAGCGAAGACAAAAATGTGTGAGCTAGAGGCTAAAAAACAGTGAGCTAGCTCACGCCAACTCAGCTTAGAGGGAACACTGGTAACTGGCACAAAATAGGCTTACCTTCTGCTTCGGCTACTGCAAAAATTAGTTTGCTCTGGAGCCCTCCTTCCTGAGCGAAGACAAAAATGTGTGAGCTAGAGGCTAAAAAACAGTGAGCTAGCTCACGCCAACTCAGCTTAGAGGGAACACTGGAGAAGGGTTATCGGAGGGGCTTGGAGGGCCCGGGTGCGGCCAGGGAAGAGCAGGAGGGTGAGGTGGCCTGCCTGCCCGGGGTCCTGGGCTCGGCCTCCTCCTCCCTGGGAGGCCTGTTCGTGGAGACGGCTCCGCTCCGGATGTGGGAGGCCTGTTCCTGGAGACGGCTCCGCTCGGATGGGCTTTCTGGCTGGCCCCTGGGGGGGGGACTGACTTTGGTCAGGTCTCTGGAGCGTGTGTTCCAAACCAAACTTGGGTCCCTCTGGCCCTCTTCGGTGCTTTCCACATTGTGTGTTTGGTTTTTCAAAACACCCCGACCTTTCTCGTGTCTTCCCACCTGCCGGAAGACCCCGCCACGCTTGGGCCTGGGCGCGGGGCTCCAGCGCTTGGTCCACCGGGATGTTGCTGGAGAGAAACGCTCCCAATGGGAAAGGGACGCTTGGAGCCCCTTGCTCTGCCTCCGTTAACTTGGCAGCCTGGCGGTTGGCATGGCCCAGCCCGTCCCTTGGCACGAGTCTCTTGCTGGCTTTGTCGAGTTGCGTGAAGGGCTCTGTTGTGCGCTGCTGCAGCTGTGTCTGAATGGCCAGTGGCTCCTTGGGTGGCGGCAGAAAGACTCCTCTGTCTGGGGAAGAGAAAGGGGCATTTCTTCCTTGGGCTGCAAGCGGAGCCCCTGGCGGCGGGGGGGAGGAAACGGGCACATAATTCTTCGGCGACGGGGAGCCAGGGCTGGGCATGAATTGATAAAAGGCTTCAGCATCGTTTAATGCTGAATAGAGGCCCAGGCCTTGTGGGGAATGCTTGATGGATCCTGCAGACTTGGGAAATCTTGCCAAGCACAAAGGGCCATGGAAGTGCTCTGCAGTTCTGCCGCTGGGGGTGCCAACCCCCCCTCCCCCTTGCAGCAGACACTAGGAAGGGCTGGGCCATCCGTGGACTAATGGCTGGAAATGCCACCCTGCGGGGGTAAGGAAATAACCGCTGGTGAGCAGATGTTGGGAATCATCAGCTGAGGCTGGCTGGCTGGCCGGCCCCATTGTGCCTTTGGGCCCTCCTGAGGGCATGAGGCTGGCCTGGGGCCCGTAGGGTGGCGGTGGCCACTGCCGCTGTGGAGGAGGAGCTCATGTTAGCCTCGGGGATTTGATTTCGCACAACAGAACCCGATCGGTGCCACATCCTGAATGGCCTTGATAAGTCCCCTCAGTCCCAAACGCAGTTTGACATGGGGGGGGGGGTTTGCTGCTGCCGCCGTAAGTGAAAAGCAAGTCTAAAGGCACACACACACCCGGCTCTCAGGAGCAATGTTCCCTCTAAGCCGTGGAGTCCTGTGAGCAAAAATTCTTCCTTGTGAGCTAGCAGGATTAAAGTTGTGAGTCGGCGATTTGGCTACTGCATAAATCAGTTTGCTCTGGAGCCCTCTTTCCTGAGCTAAGACAAAAATATGTGAGCTGGAGACTAAAAAACTGTGCACTAGCTCACACTAACTCAGCTTAGAGGGAACACTGCTCAGGAGGACTAGTTTTTTGTGGTGCTTCCGTTCCTTCCAGGCATCTGGGACGGCCGTGCCCATGAGCCTTTGCTTCAGCTGCACCAGGTCCCCCACCCCTCCCTGGCACGCTTGGCCTACCTCGGGCAATCTTTCTGTGTGTCAGGTTCCACAGCCAACAGCGGAGTACACGCTTATCAGAAAGGTTATACTTTATTGCAGAGCTATAGATGCTGTAACAAAGGCACTGTTAAGAATGGCGTCGCCCCTACAAGCATAATGGGATATAGGGTATTTGTATGCACACACCCCCCTTCCTTAGGCCAATTAGCCATATTCCCCCGCGCGGGAGAAGGAGCCCCAGGCCGTTTGAGCCAAAGCTGGGAACCGAAAGCGCTCCCACGGTTC